TATCTTCGACCGGGACATCTTTAGCACATGGATTTGAGTTGAGCTGTAAATTCTGCAGTAGCTTGGCATTCCTTTTAGCAGTCTTTATACCCGTCGCAACATCATAAGCACTTTGTAACCTCAATGCGTTGTCAGCCAGCAGGCAGGGTTGAATGCGGTCGTTTTTCACGCTGACCATCAGACGATCCCGGATCATGTCGTTTCGGTAGTTACTGACATCAAAATGTTCTGCCAACTTCCGAAGCTTAGGAACGACATACGTGGAAACCTATGTCGTTACACGTTACGAAATCCTCTCCAACCTCGTTCAGGAAACCAACTGATCCTTCCTGGCCGAGAAGCCGCCCAATGTCGCCTGGATGTTGTTCGTCACCCGATTCACTGAGCTAGTGGAAAATGCGTCAGAAAGCAAGGTCCTTCGCCCGAAGCAAGTGAATTCGTTCCTAAGGAGCCGTACTAGAAAAGGCATGGCCTTAAGGGGTTCAGCCTGGTGCGCTTACAAAGTCTGTCCAAGTCATCTGACCTGGGGTGCTTACACGACTCAAGAAAACCACTGCGTCAAGTTGATCCGCAAGGACAAACTTCAGCATCAACAGAACTTAGCGTCAAAATTCAGTACAAATCCCAAGTAATTGCATAGACACGTCAACATGCTCCGCAGAGTGCAGCTCGGGATCCCGGTTTTAGGTGCAACAGATGGTCTTGCGCAAACCGCACAAGATGTAGCCAACGTGCTTCACCAACACTTCATCCATACTTTCCGGAGTGAATAATCATTTTATCTGCTTTTGACACAGCTTCCATCGCCACCAGGGTTAAACCACGTATCGTTCACGGCAGCCAATGTGATGAAAACGCTAATCTCATTGCGCGTGCACAGCTCACCTGGGGTGGACGACATCAAACTGAAGGCATTGAAGACAGCGGCCATGAACCTTGCCGAACCATTAGCTCAGTTCTTTCAACGTTGTCTCGACGAAATGCAGGTTCCCACAATGTGGAAACATGGAGTAGTCACTGCTATTTATAAAAGTGGTAATCGTTCGGAGCCCTCGAATTACCGTCCAATCACTCTCCTCCCAGTTTTATCCAAAGTAATGGAACGTATAGTTGCAGAGGTGCTCATGGGATATCTTGAGAGCAACAACATCTTAGTGTCACAACAATACGGATTCGGCAGAAGTCGATCCTGCACTACAAAGTTGCTGCTAGCCCGAGCAAGTTGGACAGAGTCAGTCGATGCCAGAGTGGGAGTCGAGGTTCTCTAGCTGGATTTCTCGAAAGCGTTCGATCGTTTAAATCACCGGATTATCCTTCGCAAGCTTCGAAGATGTGGTATCGGTGACGCTATACTAGGTTGGATAGGCAACTTCCTCGCTCAAGTTCGGCTGAAGGTGAGAGTCCGCAGCTCCAGTTCCGACCCAATTGACGTCTACTGTGGCGTGCCCCAAGGATCGGTACTGGGGCCACGTTTATTTTTAACATTCATTAGCGAGCTTTCCAGTGTACTTCAGTCGAACTTCTTACCAGTTGCATATGATGTCAAAATTTGGTATGCTATCACGACATCGGATGATCGCATGGCATTGTAAAGCGGTTTCGAGAGGGCTTATGCGTGGTCATCCGATAACCGGCTCCAGTTCAACGTGACCAAGTGCAAGGTCGTAAGCATACGCTGCCAGCTTTTCTATGAATATCGACTTGCGAGCAGCAGTTACAACGTGCTTCCCACGAAAACGACCTCGGAGTGATCGTGCAGCGCGATCTTGGTTGTGCGAGACAGGCTGAAAAGGTATCAAAAAGAGCCAGTCAACATCTTGGACTCGTACGAATGGCTTTCGGTAATTTTGAGTCATCAATCTTTCCGCAAATGCTGAACGCCTACGTGAGGCCTCATGAGGAATATGGGATCCAGGCCTGGCGTCCCTGGCGCAAGCACGATGTTGATGTAGTTGAAGCTCCATTACGCAGAGCTACCAAGCTCGTCAGAAGATTGGTTCAGCTCCCCTACCAGCGCAGACTGCAGTCCCTGAGATTGTACAGTGAATATCGACGTCAGCGAGGAATCTAATCCTGGATTATGTAATACTGACGAACCCAACCCACTCATGTCGCAACCTGTTGCAGCTGAGCCAAAATACCAACCTGAGAAGCCATCAGTTCAAACTGGCTACGCACTACAGTCGATTTGATTGTCGACGAAACGTATTCTGCCTCCGCGTGTCCCGTGCCTGGAATGCCCTTCTGACTCACGTTATCCTTGCTCCTACACTAATGCTATTAAAAAAACGCCTTGATGAAACACTTTCTAAGTTGTATTACGAGTGAGAGTTGTTCCCATTTTTCTTTCTCACACATTTACTGAACTATAACGGCACTTTATACTATTTTGTGTGTGCATAACCCATTCCCAATTCAAACTATCGTTATGCAGTAGTGGATTTAAATCGGTGGACGCTTGAAATAACGATTTACTTATTCGATGATCCTTCAAATGTTAATTTTTACTCCAACCATCCTACGGGACTTGTCAAGCACATGCTATTTTACCCGTGATAAATCATTGTTTATTGTTCAACGAAAGAGGCAACTGCCCCCCTCTGACCCTTAACTCGGGCATTGAAATTAAATTGCTGCTTTATTTATTTATAACTGTTTTGGGTTATAGTGATTGGGAACCAGTGTGACCAGTTCGGTAAACAGTATGGTGTAAGGCAAATCGGAAGTCACCAAGCTGCGAATCAATTCGTATATTTGTGAGTCACCGATACTCAGTAGGATATTCACCTCGCGATTGTCGCTGACGATCACATCAGCGGCGAAAATACAGTACATATGCTTGATGTAATGGTTTCAGGAACCGGATCCCTCAGTGTATTTTACCGATTTTCTGATGGAGGCCATGGGTTCCATGAAATCGTCACCAGTATTGGAAGCAAGAACACGGAAACGCGAAGGACACAGCTATAATGTGTACACAAAACCAAGTCATTGGTTCGCTTGAGAACATGGACATTTATTCGCACATATGAGTTACGTGCATCGCCAGACAAACCGTGGCTCGTGATAAGCAACAACAACATTCCGAATGCCCTCAATAACGTTCGCGTCTGCAGGTTGAAGGGGCAATTTGCAGGATACTTCTCGGGGGCAGGTGAGACTCCTTCATTGTGTCTGCATGTCTACGCCAGCATCACTCCGGGCAATGGTAATATGGAAGGCATGACACCAACATTTTCCTATCCTATATTCCAACCCTAATGATGGAGAGGTTTTCGGTTTTGCTCATTTAGAAAGAAGCGTGAATCGCTGTTGCTTTCGCTGACTAGCGAGCGGCCTGTTTGGTGGTTGCAGGCGGGTTTGAACACAGATATCAACAACATTCGGCGCACACATTCAAGACGCGTAGACCAGGTCGCGTGTACGTAGACTTATGTGTTTTGGCTTGTGATGATTCCGTTTGGAAATTTCAACCGTCTCATGACGGGTTGTACAAGATTACAGAATGTAGAAGTGAATACTTGGTTGTCCGTTTCATTAGTAAACAAGGAACAGTCAGTATGGTGTGTGTATGTGTGTGTGTGTGATGGCAGTACTGCGCCGGATGGAGCAGACACACAAGCATGAGTCAGCCGACCAGATGCGAGCCGAATGATCTTGGCCATTGGTCGCAACGAGTTCTGCTGATGAGATGACGGATGTCGACCTCCGTCTAACTGGAGTAAGGAGGGAATACTGTTGGCAGAACTGCACCGTGATTCATTTAAACCTACTTTCATGTGAATCGGGAGTTGGTGCCCTGGGTATGAGTTGCTTTTCGTTAGGTGTTTGTTTTCGCTTTCGGCTCTTCACCCCGACCACCTCACTTGCTGTGTATTGCTCTACCCAGTTCAATCTTAATGGACTCCCATTCACCTTACTGTTCCATAGGCGTGGTAGAGGCCTGGCAAAGTGAAGGTGGTACGTGAGTGGTGCCAAGGCGGCAGTGTAAGGGGGGCGCAAACTGAGTTTGGATACGAATTCGTACCGGTCACTGCAAATGAACTGAAGAGGTTTGTGGAGCTCTGCGGAATGCAATGCATTGGTTTCGCTGCATTGCCGTGCAAGCTGCAACATGTCAGTCCGGTCGGAGGAGCTCAGACTTACTTGGGAACCGGATCCAACATTAGGATGGCCCAGAGATGTAGCAAGAGGGCGGTCTGCTCCGGGCTGCATATGACGGGGGGGCGGCATTTTTAGTACCGTCGATTTTCGATATCAAATATAAAGGTCAAAATTTCCAGAGAAGCTGTGGGTTGAATATCTTAATGTTACTCTGTATGACCAACAACACCATTGGGCAATGTGTCACACCTGTACAAACGTCCTTTCTAGCGATCCCCTTATTTGTCATATTATGGTCACTTTCACCACATTTACCGCAGTGCCTCAAACGAGCAGTCATTTCGTCGAAACTAATGTGCACTTTACCCTGAGCAGATTGTGTGGCCTTCATGAACCAATACTGCCCGAGAAAATTTTGCCACCGCCCCGGGCGGAAAAAGCAGTTGCTACGCCACTTGAACCGCCACATGCATCATGTCTCACAATTTTGGATTTTATCCTGGTTAGATTACTTAGCAGAGAAGCGTTCGACAAGCCTTGGTTGGCGCCTTACATATCCACTGTCCGACAAGTGGCACAGGTCTAAAAATTGCCAGCATTACAGCTGACAGTATTCTTGACTGCGGAGGTCTAATAACGGAACGCGAAATATTAAGTCAAGCCTCTGCCTGCAGGAAGACAATCACATCCTTAAGGTATGTATTACCCCGATTTAAGGACATCTGTCCCAAGCAAGAGCAACTGCTTTGTCGTATGAATTCATAATATTCTGCTCTCATCTGTGCCGGGTACGAACATGCCCTTGGCGAAATTGCAAAAACCGACCAAGAGCACTTAGATAAACCGATTTTTAGTGACAATGTGTGCCATGTACAGGTGATCCATATACAACTAACCGGAACTCTGATAGGGCTTCTAAATCCTCCAGGTCGATAGCCGCAATGGCACTGGAATTATTTTCTGAACCTTCCCTCGCAAGTCGCTTTGCCTTAAGTTTAGCCTCCGTCTCACCAACGATGGTTAACATGTTCTCCTTAGCTTCCGCCTCCTGGCGAGCAGAATGAAGGGTAAGTGTGAGTTCGTTGACCCTCTCTTCCAGTATCCGAGCCCGTTGAGCGGTTTCGTCAAAAGCACTTTTCAATTTCCTCAGTTCCTAGTTAGAATTAAAACACAGACGAAGTTGTCACAGAATGATGACCAAATCCAAAGAATCAGCAGTAACTGAAAAATTGTCTTAGACATATGATGACGAGCAGTTAGACGCCGAGGAAGCCATGCTTCGCAGTGACCGGCATTTTAGATACAAAAGCGCGAGCGCTTTTGTCACAAGCTCACGCCAGAGGATAAATCAGTAAATCCATTTACCAACAGTTGACTGGGAACGCTTTTACGGATTGTTGCAGACTAATGACTACTGTGTGCCGTCTTCAACTCGATCGTCTCCTGCAGTAACCAGCTTCTTGGTAATCCATCATTTCAACATTTCAGCACGTGACCTCACCTTGGCATGAAATTTATCATTCAGAGTACAGGTTTGGAGGGGATGAATGGGCATGGCGGGAGAACGAAAACTCCTTGGATGATCGACCAGTGAGTTGCATTAGCTACTTTTTCATGCTCCAACGTGGAGACATTTGGTGCTAGATGAAAAGCCAAAAGTGCTTACCGGTTGAATAGTTTAGCTCACGCCTCGGATGTGTAACGTAAACCGCATCAGCAAAATTGAACGCTCAGTATGCCAAACATACTGTCAAAATAATTTTTGGGGTTATGTGTTTGTTGCATTTTTAAATTGGTAGGCTATCTCCACATCACTTTTCTTCGTACCCAGTTATTAGTAAGCAACCAACTTCCAGGAGAATGCTACAGATGACAGATATATATGAACTCTGCTTTCGATCAGATTGCTGAAGTGTTGGCACATTGTGTTAGGACACTTTTATGCCCAACCCCTCTTCGTTGAGGCTGGTACACTGCTTTCCTTCATTTTTTCACTCTCAGTAAGTTACCTATTGGCCTCCATGGGAAAAAGAACGGACGAGGCGAATAAAACCTCTGATTTCGACAATCGAGCTAGGATCCTTCAAAGAACCAGTACCAAAGAGAATTAAGTATTCACCTGTGGCCAAGTACTGGCTACCACGTTTGGGCATCTATGAAGTTACTAACAGGGTGCAGCACATCTGACCATGAGGGACACTTACAACAGATTTTCCAAGTAAGCATCAAAGCACTAATTTTTGTACAACAGCAGAACTCATTTTGGATGGACAGCTACCCTAGTTGTAGTCAAGCTGTCTGAAGCGAATAACTGCCGGCTATCTAATATGATAGACTATGAACCGGTGCACTGACCCTGGATGTTTGATGCCACTTAAATTCCACCTATTCGGAATCCAGTAGCTTGTTATCTGAGATGATTGTGGTTTTAGCTTCTGAAGTGCTGATGCCATTCGCTGGTCGTGTGAACTAAAAGCCAATTGCTGTCATGACAATGTATCTTCTAACCAGTTCCACCACACTAGTCCTGAGTCAACACAGAGGCTATAGCAATGGCAAACTTGAACTGCACAACTGGAGTGGCGTACAGTTTCGGTAGCTTTAGCACTCTCGCACGCCGCTTCTCTCTCCCTCTTCTCGTGATTCAGTTCTCCGGATAGCCTCATGATGGTCTCGCGCGATGCTCTCTCTTCGAATTCCAAGGTTTTCACAGCGTCCTCTTGTTGAGACAGCTTGTTTTCACAATTGCACAGGGAGCGCATCAGTTCTGTTATCTACAAAATAAAGTAGAGTTTGTGACCAGTGGATGGAATAGATTTATGAATGCCTGTCATCCACGGTTCGATCAAGCATATGGTGATGAGCCGACCAATGCCTTCACTTACCGCTTGTGGTGAGCGAATGCTATGGGTGGTTACAATGTAACCAACAGAGAGAGCATTTTCACGGAAGCATGTGAAGTGGGTCATGTGAGACGGACAACCATGTAAGTAGCCAGTACAAAGCCGAGCTTATTGGAAGAGCGATTTTATACAAGACAGTTACTTTGGCGTTGAGTCTGACATAACACTAGCTTCCAATAGTAGAATACAGTATATCGTGTTTCGTTTGATTGGCCCAAGTTCCATATTGCAAGCGTGCGACTGTATTGGTAGCTCCGAGTGGTCATCTATAGGAAGATGTTTGATCGTCTGACACATCGTTAGGTCAACAAACTTGGAAATTGAATCTCTTAGGTTTGTATTTGATACTGGCGAGTTCCAATGGCGAAATTACCTGAATAAGTGCGGAAATTCTTTTTGTCGTTCACACCGCCAGCACTACCGTCAAAATAATAATAACAACTACTACTTCTACGGATCTCCGGCATTCTACCACTGTTCGTCCCCGAAACAAGATACCTTTAGGCCCTGCTGCACAGTGTGTAGCCAATGATGATTACTTTAGGGCATTGTGAGTTTCGGCACATTCAGATACCCTGAGCAACGCAGGTCTTTGAAATATATCACGGAGTAGCTGAGAATCTGAACCTTCCACGTGTTCAAGAGGTGTTTCAGTCGAAGAAATACTCCCGAAGAATAATTCCTTTAGACTCGACTAACAATACCTGTTTGTTCCATATAACTGCGCAACGACGGCGCACTCCGAATATCCTGGACAGTATTGCAATGACTCGGAGTCATCCTGCGATTGTTGCACATGTATAACCATCACTCCAGTTTCGCAACATCATCAGGCATCCGCCTTACTTCATCTGCCCAGATCTTTTCATGGGCCGTAATACGCAAGTTCCACCTCTTCCGAGGGGACTAGTAAGTGACACTGCTTACTTACTGCATTTTCTGTGCGTCGATGCTTTGAAGTTGCCTAAAAGTAAGGGGAGATGTGACATTTGGCTTCGGCGCTGTCCGTGCAATCGCAATGGAAAATAGGCCCCGGAACAAGTAGAATGTAAATTGAAGTAATTCAGTTCCCATATAATCTATCCAGACTGTGTTCATTTAAAGTGGGGGCATAATCTGTTCGCTTACCTAAATCAAAAGCTCCACTGGTGACCAAAAATGGCACCCCAGGCGATAATCTCACAGGCACTTTTTTGATATAATGGTGAAGTGACCCAGCTTCGAAAGCATCCATCTCGTTTCTTAGTCCGGAGAGATCGTGCAATCTGTGTTTTGGAAGGTGAACAGTCCCAGACTGTTCCACAACCCCGGGGTTTTGCTTTGGAGTCACAAGTTTAACTGTGCAAATTCTGATCTGTGAAAATTCATTCTAACTACCAGAAAAGCAGTGTCAGAACTTGATCGCGAAGATAAGAAAATGGAAACCATGTGGCACAAATTGGCGGCATGATGCTATCGCCCCGAAGTCAATTACTTCGGGACAACAGTGAGATCCGCCTGTAAACCGAGCCAAACAAGTGCTGTGGTCGAGATGGAGTAGGCTGTTCGAGATCCAGGTCAGCAGACGCCTCGTAATAACGTTTATACTCCTTGGAACGTGGATCTAAACATCAATGGGGTTACGAAAACACGATAGGAATTGCACGGTACTCAAGAGGCGAGGTAGCGGTTTAAAGTAGATATGTGAATCTACGACTAATGCTGATCGTCAACATGATGCGACAACATACTATTGAAACTGTCAAATATTGTACTATTGCGGAATTTCGCAGCACGCGGCTTGGTTGCAAGTCACTTTGTTCAGCCATGAGCACATATGCATATAAACGACGTGATGCCTGACTCACATTCTTATTTGGCCACTTACCCTGAGTAGGCATTTTTCAGGAGTGGTTTCACATTGAAGCACACGCGCCACATCAATGAAAGAGTTCTGCAAACTGTGAATGGACTTCTCCAAGCTATCGGTCACTTTCTTGAAATGTGCTTCGCAGTCTCTATCCAGGAATAATGAGATATGTGATTAGAAAGTTACCTAAGTTTGCCATTTAATTCTAGAACTTTGGCGTTCTTCCGCTTAAGGTCATTTTCTAGCGACGTTAGAATCAAGTCATTTTTCTGTTGTATTGTACTGTAGCTCGATAGTTGTGCAGTCTTTTCCTCCAGCAACCTCTCTAGTTCATCTATACGACTAAGGCTTGTCAGATTTTCCAGTCGTATGGACTCGTTTTCAGCACGCAGATCACCTATCGTTTCATCTTTTTCCACGATATTGGCCTTGTTCTTTGCGAGCTGCAACGTGTTTTACCTAGATATCTGACGTTTGTTGTGAACATACCGCTGTTTGAAGTTTATCCACCTTTACCCTCATTTCTTCCAATTTGTCAATCGTGTAACGACCGCTTCTGCCGTGGATATCCGAGGACTGAGCACTTAAGGCAGTCACTCTTCCAGTTGTTTGTACGAAATGTGATGAATACCTTACTTCGCTAGTTCTCTGATAAGTTTGTCCTTTCGGTCAGTCTCTTCTTTGTAAAAGCGCAACTGTTCTTCTAGCTGTGTCTTCGGCATAAGTATATGGATCAGGCTCACCTCGATTAGTGGAAGATCCCTTGGAGAAATGGGTGCTAAAAGAAACGGCTGAGTTGGCGGTAGCTGACTACCTGTTTTGCATACTTCTGATTCATACATATCGTCAAGTATTGGGTTTATGGCAGTTCACAAGGAGTGCGTCTGGACAATTGCTGAAACTGATTAAAGGAGAAGCGGAGCTTGCACTACATCGTCATCCACGACATTGAGTGATAAAGAGCTGTATACCTTTTATGAAGATTCATCGCAGCTAAACTCAGTCAGACAGCCACTACACATCCAGGAAGGCACTTTTCTGGATATGTGATGGCTGTTTGCCTGAGTCTAACTGCGACGAATTTACTCAAAAGCACAACAACCCCCTATTATCTACTAGCTTAGTAGAAGCTCTCGTTATATCCTGAGTGTCTTTCAACAAGTAAATCGGATCTCTGACGAGAATCACATACTAACGACCCCCTCAGAATCTTGGTTGGGCTCCCAGGCTTAGACCATGCGTACATACAATTGCGTCCACCCAATCAGTTGCACGCTGCCTGAAGTCAAAAAGGTTTATGAACAAGTCGCAAATCTTCCGCAAGCCACATCAAGTAGTAACAGGCATTACTCGATATATCATCTGTTGTATACACAGCCCTAACACATAACCGCCGATAACTTACGACGGATGCTCCACACTCCGTCACCGAAGTGATGCCGATGTCGGCGTGTCACTGTTATCTGGGTTCATACACTGTGCACCGTGGGAGAACATAACAGTTTACCTGTTGTTTTCAGGAGCGATTAGCCAATGTCACACATCGCCCAAATAGCGGTTTTACATTCTCCTGTCACCTAGTTCTTCTTCGACTGCACTGCATCTTTCTTTTTCTATGCCATATCGACATTCGTCTCAGTAATTTACATACAGAGTGTCTTCATTTTCAGGGATTAAGTCTGCACAAACCTTTTAGACATTCATAAGCCTTTCACAAGCGCTGCGTTTAATCATTCAAGTGATTTGATGGGATCGCAAGTTGTAGAGCTTGAGCAACGTTAAGGAAGAAGTAAAAGTACTTAGAGTATCCTTATCGACCGCTTCCGAGCCACAGCCGTTAGGAACGGGCACAGTGACAATAACAGAGCATCGTGACTTCAAGTGGTGCACATTATCAATAGTGCAGTCTTTTTACTCGGATCCGTTTCCTATCGACAGATTTGCTTCAGCGATTCAGCTAAAACCAACATCGGTGCCGCGAATAAGCGGGGATCTTGATTCAAGTGCGCCAAAGATGCGGGGCATAGTACCGTCGCCAACAGAAACTGAGTCAGACAGTCAAAGATATGTTATGAGTGTACAATGTTGTCTACTTGTTTAGGATAGTTTGAATGAGCCCATGAGACGATGAGTGAAAGCCAGTGCAATCAGCTGAACTATATCTAATAAGGGTTCAAACGGGGAAAGTTATTGCTGTATATGCAAGTCAAGAGCAAACGTATGTAAAGTAACCGGATGATTATTATGAAGGCTACAGATGGCCGGGACATATTGTACTCTAAGTATGTTCGTATTTTCTCTGTAACATTTTGTCCCACCTAGCTGGATTAACACTTGTTCATCTAGGTTTGACGAGCTGAAAGCATGTTATCTTAAATAATTCCAGCAGAGATAGCTCCTACCGCATTTAAACATTCGGACAGCTGTTCGCCCTTATTCACGCGGACAATTTCGCGCAGGTACGATCATCAGTCCAATATTGTTTCCGTTTTCGAAAGAGGAATCTGCCAGCATTTCATCGAGCTTTCAGTCGTCTAATTCCAATACCGTGCGTGATAGCTATAGAGCACATTACGTTTCCATCGTGAGATCACAGCAAACTAACCGTCAGCGTTCGCTGTTGGTACTTTCATTCGCAGCGATCAATCAATCTGTCCGCCACGTTTACTGTCAACACAAGCCGCCCTACCCGCGATCGTATGATGCACGGGCTTACCACACAGAGCATGATGAGCCAGTCAACTTCAAGTTCAGTTGGGACCGGAATGATAGGACAATCTCGTGAATGTTCCTTCTTTTGCGTATCGTTGGATCGGGAATTGATAGATCTACTTGTGATGTGGAAAACCTAAAACAGAGACCGCATCACACCCTGTCCAAAGAGTTATTGCCCACATTTTTCTGCCCAGCAGTCCCTGTCAGGCTGGTTTATGTGAAGTAAAAGTGTGAAGGCTAAGCTAAGAAAACAAGAGGAGGAAAGTTATCTAAATAATGATAATACCACGGTGTGCGAAGAAATTTAAAAACGAACGGAAAGTTGAAGCTACAAATCAGTTAAGATAAGAGGAAGCTTCGGTAACACCATGCAAGCGCAACTAACTGACACTCGAAACCCTCAACTGTATACTCCCTAACGAGGTACTCCAGAAACCAGTTTCAACGCTCAATAACCCGGTGCAACAAGCGAGTTTCGATCCTTACCCGGTCAGAACGCAGTTTGTGAAGTTTCAACGGGTGACCTCAAAGACTAGAAAGTTTGGCGGGAATAAATAGCCAAGACAAGTCTGGACCGATCTTACCCGTTAGGATATGGTAAGTGAGGATCAAGTCTGCTCTAATTCTCCGGTATTACATTGAATACATACCCAAGCTAATCAAACGTTCGGAATACGTTTGCCCTCGCGATCCCTGCACTAACGTTGTACCCACTCGCAAAATCCTCTCCAGTTCCATTTTGTCCCTTGCAAGACAAGGTGGACAAGTATACATACAGTATGCTAAGTGGGATTGCACAATTGCTGAGAACAGCTTCACAAAGATATCGACCGTTAAGACACCGAAGGAGCGGCGAATAAATCACATCATACGGAACCCTCTACAAGCAGCCTTCCTCCAATGATTTGCAGAGTGAGGAACTGAGGTGCACAATACCTAAATCAACCTGCTGAGTGGCAATAGGGATCTCCCTTCCACCAACTACATAGCACGTGGGGGGACCAACACCACCAATGCGGAGGGCAGAAAATTTCGCATGATCTATAGGCATTAACCATAATGTTGACCAATCCCAGAGTCTATCCAAGGCACTAAAATTCCTCAGAGCTCACAGGGATATCACAATATTTTAGAGCTTGAGGTCATCAGCAAACAACAACGACGGTACTTCAAGCTCCTGGGGTAGTTCATTAATATAAATTGCGAAAAGCAACGGTCCTAGAACCGAGCTCTGCGGAACGTCACTATGAACAGCTTGTCTAAGAGAAAAGCTACGTCCAACGCGTACACACTATTTCCGCCCCTCTATGAAACCAGATACCCATTTAAGGGTGCTACCCGATATCCCATACAATCGCAACTTTAATGAGAGTCGTTGATGTGGGACAGTATCAAAGGCTTTCGAGAAGTCAACGAAAAGCACGTCAATAGCGTGACCATTGTCTACTGCCTCAGCCCAGCTTTCACGAGCTACAGGGATATTTGTCAGACACGAAAATCCATTACGGAATCCGTGCGGTGGCACACTGAGGCGGTTAAACTTATTCAGGCAATTCTACACCGAATCACTGACCAATATTTTAAACAACTTAACTACTACGCTTGACAAGCTGACAGGTCGGTAGTTCGCGGGTAGCGCGCTGTTATCACCTTAAAAATCAGACAGATGATTGCCTCCTTCCATTCCGAAGGTAAGGCACAGCTATCGAGCGATATTGTAAACACGTATGTGAGAGGGACACTTACCTCAGCGGCCAATTCGTGCATCAGCTTCGGATGAATTGAATCACGGCTAGATGCTTTGGAAGGATTTAGCTTTAGCATAGCTCGAAAACTTGTGTCTCCGTTGTGCCGATTTCAGTTAGGCAAAAATCCTCTGGGACTTTGCGACCAGCTCAACCTGACGGTCGGTGGCCGAGTGCCAGACGATGGCGAGGCGCTGCTTACCCGCAAAACAAACAGTGGCCATTCGGCCACCATGGCCACCACACCTGTAGTCCGAAGATTTTTGTGCTAAGCAAACACGTGCTAGGGTAGTAAAAGTAAGATTGTCACGTTTTCTCTGCATTAGCTGTTATCACCCTAAATGCGTCAGATACGGTTTTGCCGAAATAAAAAAATATAACAATACGCCGGGCTCACTTTGATTCTGTCCTAAGTGTACGACTGTTCCACTCGTAAAATTTGTTCCAGCGTTAGCACAGTAGTACGATAACCCAGCCGCCGTAACGGAACATCGTTTAAATGAGAAATTGCTTCCCTCGAGGCAACAATAGCACAGCATGCATTTCAGCCGGCTCCCCTACTTACTACCTGGAAACCAAGAAAAAGTGCCAGGTGTTCCCACTGCCTTGCAGTACCAGAAACCTTGGAAACCATGCACCAATTCGTCATCGCGAACGATCGAAGCATGTCAGGCTCCACTACTCCCATCCTCTTATCCAATGTAGCGACCAAAGTAACATCGGTAACTTTGATATTTCCGGTTGATCAAAAAATCTGAAGCTATCTGTAGACCGATCAACTTACGCAACCGTTGCTGCTCGATATAATCATAGTGCGACATTAGTAGATTCAGCCTTCACAGCCATAACACGGGTCAAGTATCAGGTACAACTTGCAGAGACGTCACAAAATACGCAGATAGCCATACCTCCTACATCATAGAAGATCAGGCGTAACTACGAAGCCTTGGGACTCATATGCACCTATGTTCCTGAGCCCAGGGCAAATTCCTTAAGGTGTAAACAGCAGAATACTTTGAGACAGTAGAATTCAACTTGTGATCGAATCGGAGTTGCAGCCAAGCCGACTAATTTAATGCGCATCCCTAGATATCCAACCTCGATGCACTACGGTGAGCCAAGGCTAATGACGTATAGTTGCTGCTTTTGTCAGCAGACCGCCTGCGGACAAAAGACCGCTGGATATGCACCTTTCCGAAAATTCCATGGAGCGAATGCCAGCGGGACAAAGATAATTTGGAGGACAGCTACACGGAGAGTATCAGAATGATCATTTTCATTCATGCCGCGCCCGGGCTACGGGCAGCTAGCGACGAAGCCCACGCTAGTGACCTAAAGTATGGCAGTACCTCCGTGAAGGTCTCTGTGCTAGTGACGTCATACAGGAGTTAGGTACACGGTTAGCCGTGTCGCCTCACTACAAAGGCAGATGTTGA